GCCATCCGGAACCATGACAAGGTCCTGCAGCGTCTGTGTGAGCACCTGGACCACGCCCTGCTGTACGGGTAAGGTGGAGGAAGTTTCCAAAGACCACGGAGCACAACCCAGGCCATGAGTAGCCTCCACAGAGAAATCCTTAGCTTGTCTGCCTTTTCTTCCTTCTCTTCCCTTGGGAGAAAGGGATTTGTCCCATTCAAGTGGGCCACAGTCTCTCTGTAGTTACCCCAGTAAATCATCTCTGGGCAGACATAAAGGATGGGGGGAGGATTCGCCACAAATGACATGAAGGTGTGCTGGGTGCCTGGGAGACCTGTGGGGATCCATCACTTCCTGCCTTGCGCTCACTGCTGGACCCCTGACTGCAGCTTCCCAGGGTGGCCCCATGCAGGTCACAGCAGCTCCTGTCCTGTTTCCTCAGACTGCAAGACCTCTCCTCTGGCTACTGGGTGCTTGTGGTGCATTTCACTCGGAGAGAGGCCATCAAGCAGATCGAGGTGCTGCAGCACGTGGCCACCAACCTGGGGCGCAGTGAGTAGTCACAAGGAGATTCTGGGGAAGGGACCAGCTCCACCTTCTCTGTGGGTAGCTTGGGGCTCTGTCCCAGGTTTAGCCTCAGGGTCAGCCCTGGGAGGCTCATTACCTGGTGGTGTCCAGTAGCAGTGGGGTGTTAAAATGCCAGCACCAGGCCAGGCATGGTGGCTTACACCTGTAATTCCAGCATTTTGGGAGGCTGAGGAGGGAGGATGGCTTGAGGCCAGGAGTTTGGACCAGCCTGGGCAATACAATGAGACCCCATCTCTACAAAAATTTAAAAATTAGGTGGATGTCTTGGTACACACCTGTAGTCCCAGCTACTCAGGGGCTGAGATGGGAGGATGACTTGAGCCCAGCAGTTTGAGGCTGCAGTGAGGCATGACCACAGCGTTGCACTCCAGCCTGGAAGAAAGAGTGAGACCCTATCTCTAAAGATTTAGGAAAATGGCTGGGCACAGGGGCTCATGCCTGTAATCCCAACACTTTGGAAGGGTAAGGCAGAAGGATCCCTGGAGCCCAGAAATTTAAGGCTGTAGTGAGCTATGATCACACCACTGTACTCCAGCCTGGGTGACAGAGTCTCTGTCTCAAAAAATAAAATAATAGTAATAAATAAAAAATAAATGTATAAAATGCCAGCCCCCTTCATGAGGCCTCTTTGCTCCCCGCATATGACGGTTTTTGGCGCAGCAGTGATGGGAAGGAGGACGAGCTGCCAGCGAGAGCTGGACTCCTTTGGAATCCCAGCCTGAGCACGTGCTGTGGAGTCTGGTTTCTCTCCCTGAGCCGGGATCACTGTTACCTACAGGATCAGTGCAGGATCCTGGTGTTTCTTGACCTATCTGAAGTGTGCAGTCTGCTCTCTTTATCAGAATTTCCTGGCCAGCTACATGCTAAGGTCTGACTAGGAAAATAAAGCACTCAGGGTTACAGTACCCCACCAAGCGCGAACGCTGCTGAAGTGCCTGGTCCCCTGACCTGCTCTTTCTTTCCTTTCTGCCCTTGCTTGGCAAATCAAAGCCAGCACTCTGACAGGCCTTCCTGCCGGTTACTCCTGCCTTTGTTTGCAGGCCGTGCCTGGCTGTACCTGGCCCTCAACGAGAACTCCTTGGAGAGCTACCTGCGGTTGTTCCAGGAGAACCTGGGTCTGCTGCATAAGTACTACGTCAAGTGAGTGTCTGGGATGGTCTGTCTCCCCTAGCCTCAGAGCTCCCCTTCAGCCACCTCCCAAAGGCTCTTGTCATGCAGACAGCACAATGTGCCACATCAGGTAGAACCTTGCCGGTAGCTGGGTGGCCTTCACTGAGAGCACCAGTGTCCCATCTGGGCTCCTGGGTCCAGTTTGGGTCTCTGCTGCTCCCTGGTCCTCCTCCCAGGCTTCAGAGCTGACCAGTGCCCAAGCTTTGGCTCAGGCTTTGCTGGGGTTGCTGCAGGAACAGAGTGTGTACAGCAGCTGCTGAGAGCCTGACAAGCCTTGTGCTTATCCATCTCTGAAGACACTGGCAGGACAGTGCAGTGTGGCTGCTAACCCAGCAGGAGATCGCTGAGAGGGTGGTGGGCGATAGCTATATCAAGATGGGTGCCTTCCAAGGTGGGGGACATCACGTGTCAAATTTCAACACAGCTGGCATGTTGGTAAGCTCAGGCCAGGCTGGTCAACAGACCCATCGTGGCTTCTCGTGTCTTGCAGGAATGCCCTGGTCTGCAGCCACGATCACCTGACGCTCTTCCTGACCTTGGTGTCCGGGCTAGAGTTCATTCGTTTCGAGCTGGACCTGGTGAGACACCAGGGCCTGTGCTGCTTGTGGGAAGCAGAGGAGGGGCAGGGTGGGCGGTGGTTTCACTTCTCAGGTCTTGGTGGGGGAGCTTGTTGAGTATGACTGGGCTTGAGCAAAGCTTTTTTTTTCGGGTGAGGGAAAGGTTTCAGGGTCCGTTGAATTGAGTGAGAAGAGAAGTGATTCTCTTACCTTACTGATGGCAAGAATTCCTGGTTCAGGTTACTTCCTCCTATCTCCCTATCCAACTTGGAGAAAAGCCACATTGCCTGGAGTATCTTTTTTTTTTTTTTTTTTTTTTTTTGAGACAGAGTCTCGCTCTGTCGCCCAGGCTGGAGTGCAGTGGCATGATCTCGGCTCACTGCAAGCTCTGCCTCCCGGGTTCACGCCATTCTCCTGCCTCAGCCTCCCGAGTAGACTAGCTGGGATTACAGGCGCCCGCCAGCACGCCCGGCTAATTTTTTTGTATTTTTAGTAGAGACGGGGTTTCACCGTGTTAGCCAGGATGGACACGATCTCCTGACCTCATGATTCACCCGCCTCAGCCTCCCAAAGTGCTGGGATTACAGGCGTGAGCCACCACGCCCGGTGTCTGGAGTATCTTAACCCAGAAGAGCTGGCCTTCATGTTTAGGACATGAGAGTTAGAAGGACAAGGCAAATTCAGCCTGGTGCTTCTGGGGTTCTGAAAGGTGTCTTCAGCTCCATGACGAGCCTTCAGCCACCCTCTTCAAGTTCTCAAGCTTCTCTCCCCATCACATCCTGTACAAATGTGATGCTGGCCCACATGGAACCAAAGAGGCTCCCAGGCACCTCTTGGAATGGGCTCAGAATGGAATGCAGCTGCCCCGTCCTAATCAAATGACCTTCCTTGGGCCAGGTGCGGTGGCTCACACCTGTTATCCCAGCACTTGGGGAGGCTGAGGTGGGCGGATCACCTGAGGTCAGAAATGCGAGACCAGCCTGGCCAACATGGCGAAACCCCGTCTCTACTAAAAAAAAAAAAAATACAAAAATTAGCGGGGTGTGGTGGTGGGTGCCTATAATCCCAGCTACTTGGGAGGCTGAGGCAGGAGAATCGCTTGAAGCCGGGAGGTGGAGGCTGCAGTGAGCTGAGATCACATCACTGCACTCCAGCCGGGGCAACAGTGAGACTGTCTCAAAAAAAAAAAAGAGAGAGAGAGGGACAACGGGGGCATCAAAAGGTATAGCTGAGTTCTGACAGCTGTGTCTTCCATCAGCCTAAAGTCCACAGCTTTAAAAGCCAACACTATTCACACTGCTCTTCTTAGCAGCTTTTCTTTGAATTTAGTACTTTCAGCCCTTGATTTCCCAAAGAATAACTAGCATAGAGGGTGTGACAGAGGCACATCTGCGTCTCCCAGGCCTGGATTCTGCTGTCCGTGGAAGGCCGCTACACGGAGTCTCCCACCAAACGGGCCTCCTCTACTCTCTCCTCAGGATGCCCCTTACCTAGACCTGGCCCCCTACATGCCCGACTACTACAAACCTCAGTATCTGCTGGACTTCGAAGACCGCCTTCCCAGCTCGGTCCACGGCTCAGACAGTCTGTCCCTCAACTCCTTCAACTCCGTCACCTCCACCAACCTGGAGTGGGATGACAGTGCGATTGCCCCATCTAGTGAGGGTGAGTGGCCCCAGGGCAGAACGGCTAAGCCCCTGCTGTGAAACAGACTTGAGCTGCTTAAGCCTGGCTGAGTGACGTCTTTCTTGGCTAGTTTTGGTCTGGTGGCTGAAATTTGCAATTAAACAGGGCTGACCATTTCCCAGATCTTCATCTCCTCAGAGTCCCTGTGGTGGCTAAAAAGCAGATTCTGGGCACAAAAAGCCAAAATTTTACATATATATATATATTTTAAGGTTAGACCCTTTTCCAGAAGGTTCTAGTCACATGCCTGGGGCAGTTTTCTAAGCAAGGAAGGTTTAGCAGTGGGACGTGGAAACCCTTGTCACAGGGTTGACTGTTGCCTGCTCTGGGGAGCTTGTCTGAACCCACATTCCAGTTAGAAAGAGGTTAAGCAACCCCTAGAAGAAGAGAGAACCAGGCAGGTCTGAAGCACAGGGAAACCTTGCCACTGTGTCCTGTGTGTCCGTCCAATTTCTCCGAGTTCCTTCTGCGATCGCTGATGTGTAGGATGGTCGCACCCTTTGCATCAGAGACCGAGGAAGCAGCTGCAGGTCATTTTGTTGTCTTGACCCAATGACTTACTGGAACAGCCTAGTTTCTCTCAAACCTTAGGCCCTGGTGTTCATGGATAAAACTGGCCATTTTCCCCCGCTCTTCCCCTGTGGGAGACCAGAGCCCTTCGTTGACTTCACTCCACCACCTCACCTCCAGGGAAGGGGATCCCAGCCCCAGTTCAGCCCTGGGGCACCCTAGAATTGCCTCAGCATTAAAACCTTGACCTTCCCCTTTCTTTATTTCTGCTGTACCATGGGTTATATGTCCCAGGAAGGGAGGTAGGTCCCTTTCACACTTGCTGTTAGCAAGACCTGCATTGCTGACTGTGCAAGCTGAAGACAGCGGTTCAGTCTCCTTAGGTTGGGCCCATGGGCCACCTTAGAGGAGTCGGAGGGGCGGGCCTTGCTGGAAGAGGCAGGACAAAGATGGATCCATGGATGGAGGTGTCCCCTCAGCAATTTGGAGATTGTGTAACCGCAGCTGCCAGGGCAGTGTCTCCGTGCCCTGCTAGGGTACGGAGGGAAGGAACGCAATGGGTAGAAAACAAAGCTAGGCACAGGCAGCAAGGCTTCTCTCTGCCAGAACCAGCTTCTGGGTATGGAAAGGGGTGGCCCTGAAAGGTCTTTCCGGCTGGTTAGAGGCTCCTGGACCAGTGCCCGAGCTGAGAGGCAGCCAGGGCCCTAGTCAGTTTCCCCAAGGTTGTTAGATACAATGTAGAAAGTTGAAGTTTTCCTCTCCTATTTCCTCCCCATGTCTCCCATCCCATCTCCCCTCCCCTCCCTCCAGTCATCCTTCCACTGCCTGTGTTTCTAATCTTCAGTTTTGTCCCTCGTTTTTGTAGATTATGATTTTGGAGATGTGTTTCCAGCAGTGCCGTCTGTACCCAGCACAGACTGGGAAGGTGGGCCAGAGTCCGCTGTTACCCTCTTTTCCTGTTTTGCAATGTTTCCATGCCAAGCTTGCTGCATGTATCAAATCAGCTCCTTATTATTTATAATAATGTCCATAATCATAATAAAGCCAAGTTTGGTGTTCTAATAGATGGAATTCTGCAGTGGGAAAGCTGGACCTCTAGCCGTAGGCAAATCCCTTCTCTCAGTACAGGGCTCCTGCCTTTGCGCAGTGGCCTCTCAGAGTCACTAAGTGGCTGCATTTCGGGGGATACAGGATCACCCTTCCTGATTCCAGTGCCAGCTGATGCTCTCGGGCTGTGTAGGGCCTGACCCAGTGAACAGAGACTTGTTCTGGAAAACCATGCCTTTAAACATGCGGGTTGGAAGCTCCTTTGGGTCAGATGAGCATCGAGGAGAAAGAGCTTGATTCTTTCAGTCTGTTCCTAATGGCTTCCTCATGGGTGTTTTGGAGTGGTTGAGGTCCAAGTAAGGGAACTGCCCAGGTACAGCTGAAACTTCCTACAGACAGAATCTCTTTGAAGCTTTAAAGCAGATTAAAAGGAAATCTGCCAGCCCTCCCACCCTGTCTGCTGGGCAGTAGCAGTGCCTGGGCATTTTTCTGCCTGAAATTCCACTTCTGGGCTTACATAAATTCACAAAGCTATTTCCAGGTTGCCACGATTACTCAAAGCAAAGGCTATGTTGCCAATAAGGTGAATGTTCCCCCCTTAAATCTGAGGCCATAGCAGATCCCTGTTATTTTATTTTATTTTACTTTTTGAGACAGAGTCTTGCCTTGTTGCTCAGGCTGGAGTGCAGTGGTGCGATCTTGGCTCACTGCAACCTCCACCTCCCGGGTTCAAGCGATTCTTCTGCCTCAGCCTCCCAACTAGCTGGGATTACAGGTGTGTGCCACCATGCCTGGCTAATTTTTGTATTTTTAGTGGAAACGGGGTTTTCCCATGTTGGCCAGGCTGGTCTTGAACTCCTGACCTCAGGTGATCCACTTGCCTCGGCCTCTCGAAGTGCTGGGATTACAGGTGTGAGCCACTGCACCTGGTCCAAATCCCTGTTATTAAAGAGCCTCCTACCCTCTGGGCCACTTCCAGCCTGGAACAGGGGAGGTGAGGGAACCTGGCCTCTGAACAGGGGAGGTGAGAACTGCCGCAACCTGGGGATGAGGGGCAGGTGGCTCTCCCCGCATTATTAGATATGATCACTGAGTGATGGGGGACAGGTGATCCCTTCCCAAATAATGTGAGTATGAAATACCTTAACTCTGGGGGAAATAAGATGTGGCATTGGGAAAAATAAACTATTGTGTCCGGAATTGATGAGTGCTAACAGCCCTGACTCTCAGTGCCTCCTCAGCCTCCGGCCTCAGCGTCTACTCTGGCAGCGCTGAGAGTGAGGGCTGCTAGCACACTATGACACTTGGCCAAGAGTAGTGTTGAGGGGTCCCCTGTTTGAGCTAAATTAGCTTGGATTCCAGAATTCCATCATAACGTCACGTACCCTCTCAGCCTCTCTTCTTGCAGCACACATGCTGGATATTGTTTTTTTCCCTCTGATTCTAACAACTAACCCCCCTCCTGACACGCCTGTTGCAGTCACTTGACAAGCAGGGCCTGACCTTCCTCTGCAGCCTTTCAGAGCTCCCTGCGGCCTGAGAACTAACAGCCCAGTTGCACTGCTTGCCTCAGGGCAGGGTGAGATTTCCTGAGTTCCTGGAGCAGGATTCCTGAGCTCACTCTGGCAGCCCACCCGGGGAGGCTCTGTCTTCTCCTTGGACCCGGAGGAAGGCAGGACTTGGGGCAGCTCCAAACTCTGAGCCTGGGGTGGCCTTCCCCTGGTCTCTGGCTTATGTACAGAACTGGTGGACATCCAGGTCTTGACACCCACCACATCTCATGATCTGCCCACTCCCCTGTCAGGGCTCCTCTTGGGTGCAACCACATGTGCTGAGGAGAATCACAGGGGCTGGAGCAAGAACACATGGGCTTGGCAGGAACCTGCTTTGGGGCCGAGAGGCATGGTTTCCTGTATGTTAGAACTGAGGCTCTGGGATCCCAGGAAATCTGGAAACAGTCCCCAGTGTTGCTGGTGTTTTCTGGCAGAGCTGCTCATTGCCTTTAGCCTCTTCTTTTGTCCTTATATTAAAAGACAGCAGACTTAAAAAAAAAAAAAAAAAAAAAGGGCGGTGGGGAGGCCAGGCTCACACCTGTAATCCCAGCACTTTGGGAGGCTGAGGCTGGAGGATCACCTGAGCCCAGGAGTTTGAGACCAGCCTGGGCAACACAGGGGGACCCCGTCTCTACTAAAACTACAAAAATTAGCCAGGCATGGTGGTGCTCGCCTATAGTCCCAGCTACTCTGTAGGCTGAGGCAGGGCAGGAGGATCGCTTGAACCCAGGAGGTCAAGGCTACAGTGAGCTGTGATTGTGCCACTGCGCTCCAGTCTGAGCGACAGAGTGAGACCCTGTCTCCAAAAAAACAGGACGGTGTGCTGCATCAGTAGACAGCTGCCCTGAGGCTTCCAAGAGGCACTAAGTTGACAGCTAGTTGAGCCCCCAGTGGGGCTGTGGGGCCCATATTTGCCTCTTTTCTTCCGGGCAGATAGCAGCCAGCAAGATGAGTATTGACCGGCAAATGGAGCATGACCAGCCGTGGCCCTTGCCATTGACCCTCACCCACGCGGTTTCACCAGCTGGGCCTCAGCTCTCTGCTTGGGTGGCTCCCATCTGCCACTGGCTAAATGGCCTGTGTGCTTCACCTGCCCATGCTCCCTCTCCTGCCCTGTTGCAGTAACCAGGAGCAGATGGCTGGGTGGGGCAGGATGTCTAAGCCAGCTCCCCTCTCGGGGGCCGTGTCAGGGTATGACTCAGAAAGGACCAGTCAGTGAGCTGACGCTTGAATGAAATGGGGTTCTTGGCCGGGTGTGGTGGCTCATGCCTGTAATCCCAACACTTTGGGAAGCTGAGGCGGGCGGATCACGAGGTCAGGAGATCGAGACCATCCTGGCCAACATGGTGAAACCCCAGCTCTACTAAAAATACAAAAATTAGCTGGGCGTGGTGGTGCATGCCTGTAATCCTAGCTACTTAGGAGGCTAAGGCAGGAGAATCACTTGAACCGGGGAGTCGGAGGTTGCAGTGAACTGGGATCGTGCCACTGCACTCCAGCCTGGCGACAGAGAGAGACTCCGTCTCAAAAAAAAAAAAAAAAGAAAAAGAAATGGAGTTTCAGCACCACTGCACCACCCTTGCAGGGGCGCCTAGTCCTGCCCCTGAGGAGTGTGTAGGTTGGGGCTGCTGGGGAGAAGCAGCCTGGGGGGCAGCCTCTCAGACTCCTGTCTTTGCCCCTTCGCACCTCGTTCTCATTGCCCTGCTCTGTCATCTTGTCTCTACTCTGTGCTCTGGGCGTTTCCCTCTGCCCCATGGTTCCTACCCCTTGGGCTCTCATCCTGTCCTCCCAGCCTTTGCCCCTACTCTGCCCCCCTCACTTTCTCTGCTGTCTTCCTCCATTCTTCTCACTTTGTGTCCTTTGACCTCTGCAAGGGACCCTTCAGAGGACTTTGGGCGCCTCTCAGCCCTACAAGTGGGGTATGGGGCTAACGGGGCTGCTGGATACCCCTGTAGCGGCCTGGCAGGAAGGCTTTGAGGGTAACCTAAGAGCATGCAGCCTGGCTCCTCTCTGGGGCTCCCAGCCACCCATGGAGGCCTCGAAGTCACTATCCCTATGGGACTTAGCCTGGAGCTTGAGCCTGGAGGCTGCTTCCCCGCGGGGCCCTTAACACAAACTCAGCCAAATTGTCGTGAGCTCTGGAGGGCCCCCAGGGGTGGTGGAGATGGTGTCCCTCCAAGTTGCTCCTAAAGTACAAATCCCATGTCCTGTTAGGTTGGGGCTTCTACTCGAAATAGGGCCACCCCGGTCAGGTTTCCCTGGGAGGAACTGGCCAGTCTGCCTCCCTCCTGGGCTAACGCATGCTCTGGGGGTTGGGGACCCCAGGGGGTGCCTGATAGGGTGTCTCCTGCTTCCTTGTCCTCCCAGATGGAGACCTCACAGACACGGTCAGTGGCCCCCGCTCCACAGCCTCTGACCTGACCAACAGCAAGGCCTCCACCAGGAGCCCCACCCAGCGCCAGAACCCCTTCAACGAGGAGCCGGCAGAGACCGTGTCCTCCTCTGACACCACCCCCGTGCACACCACCTCTCAGGAGAAGGAGGAGGCCCAGGCCCTGGACCTGCCAGATGCCTGCACGGAGCTCGAAGTCATCAGGTCAGCGGGGAGGGGCCCAGAGAGGAGCTGGGGTCCTGGGGTCCAACCTGTCCACTCCCAGCATCAGCTGTTCGTCCAGGGCAGACTGGGACACCCCCCGAGGGCAGTTGCACACCTTCCTGGAAACCCTTCCCACCTCTAGGAGGTTCTTTGAGCAAGAGGAAGTGGAGGCCTGTCCTAGTCATCTCGGCTGCTGGAATAAAGCACTGCAGACGGGCGGCTTCCACAGCAGACATTCTCACAGCTCTGGAGCCTGCAGTCCGCGGTCAGGGTGCCAGCGTGGCCAGGCTCTGATGAGGGATTCACAGATTTCCCTCTTCTCGCTGTGTCGTGGTGGGGAACAGAGAGAAAGCTCTCTAGGGTCCCTTTTATGAGGGTGCTGATCCCATTCCTGAGGATCCCACCCTCAGGACCTCATCACCTCCCAGCGGCCCCACCTCCTGATACCATCACATCAGGAGTTAGGATTTCAACATAGCAATTTGGAGGGGACACACACATTCACCCCACTGTAGGGCTCAAGCCCTTGGAAGCTGGTGGCACAGGCAGCGACTGCGGCTGGCGTCTGGGGCCACGTCCAGGCTGCCGGGGCATTTGCTGGGTCTGCCTAAGATCAGAAAGCACCTTCAGGCTGGACTCTTCCTAAGGGAGTTCTTGGACTTTAAGATACAATTTCTGAGATTCACTGAAAGAAAAGTATCTTTGTCATATGGGCACGACACGGAAAGGAGGGACGTGGTGGGTGGCCAGCAGGGACTGTCAACCAGAGCCTCCCCAGCTCTCTGACCTCCCCGACCCCTTCTTGAAACTTCACACTGACTAAGAGAAGCCCTGTGTGCATGTCAGACTGCCCAGGCTTGCTGGCCTGAGGTGGGGGATTCCTCCCCGGTGACTGGAGCCAGGAGGCACCCCATGGACTGGTTCCAGTCCACAGCAGCATCATGCTCAGACCTGGGGTCCCTTAGCTAAGCCCACTCCAGCCAACCTGGAACCAGAGTGGGACGCGGAGCATGAGTCCAGAAAGCGCTGAGTACTTTCTGGGTCATTCCTCCATCATGATGCCTAAGGGAAGTGAGGTCAGCTCAGGATCCACATCCTCAGAGGGGCTGAGTGGAGGGGGCATTGTCTGACCAGCCGTGGCCTGGTTTCCTTTCCTAGTGTGCAACTAGCTCAGCTGTTCCATTAGGAGGAATTCGGAGGACCCACTCTGGGGTTCCTCTGGCCGCAGCCATCTGTGCCCAGCCCATGCTACCCCCACCCCGCCTCTGCCAGCAAAGGGGGCACCTCAGGGCCTGAGCCGCTGTTGTCCCCTGAGCCAGTGCTTCCACCCAGCACTGCCTAGGACCACTGACACGCTAGCTGTGCCCTCAGAGGTTACATGGCCAGCACCACCACCGTGACCCAGCCTGGTTTTCCTCAGCACTGGACTCCTCAGGTGTTAACTCTCTGCCTGTCATTACTGTCCCAGAGTCACCAAGAAGAAGAAAATTGGCAAGAAGAAAAAGAGCAGATCAGATGAGGAGGCAAGTCCACTCCACCCCGCCTGCAGCCAGAAGAAATGTGCCAAGCAGGGGGACAGTGACAGCCGCAACGGCAGCCCAAGCCTTGGGCGGCACTCGCCAGACACTACGCTTGCCTCCCCCCAGGAGGAGGGAGAGGGGCCGAGCAGCACCACGGAGAGCAGCGAGCGCTCCGAGCCTGGCCTGCTGATCCCCGAGATGAAGGACACCTCCATGGAGCGCCTGGGGCAGCCTCTGAGCAAGGTTATCGACCAGCTCAATGGGCAGCTGGACCCCAGCACCTGGTGCTCCCGTGCTGAGCCCCCAGACCAGTCCTTTCGGACCGGCTCTCCCGGGGATGCCCCGGAGAGGCCGCCGCTTTGCGACTTTAGTGAGGGGCTTTCAGCCCCAATGGACTTCTACCGCTTTACCGTCGAGAGTCCAAGCACTGTTACATCAGGTGGCGGCCACCATGACCCTGCAGGGCTTGGCCAACCGCTGCATGTTCCTAGTAGCCCTGAGGCTGCTGGCCAAGAAGAAGAGGGAGGAGGAGGAGAGGGACAGACGCCTCGGCCCCTAGAGGATACCACGAGGGAGGCTCAGGAGCTGGAGGCCCAGCTGTCTCTGGTCAGGGAGGGGCCTGTGTCTGAGCCAGAGCCTGGGACCCAGGAGGTTCTCTGCCAGCTCAAGCGAGACCAGCCCAGCCCGTGTCTGAGTAGCGCTGAGGATTCTGGGGTGGATGAGGGACAGGGGAGCCCTTCGGAGATGGTCCATTCCTCGGAGTTCAGGTAACAAGACTGTGCGACTGGCATGAGACTCTCCCCGCCCTTGAAGCTGGGGACACTGCGCCTCTGACCTTCAGATAAATTAAGCACTAGGAAGACCTAGCCTGAATGAAAAGGGGTGTGAGCCTCCCTCCCTAACTTCGGCTCCGGGTGGGAGGTGGAGGCACTACCCCCTGGCTCTGGGGTGGGGTGTGGCCTCGCCCACCTCTGCCCACCTGACACCTCGCCCTCCTGACTTGGCCCTCACAGAGTAGACAACAATCACCTGCTCCTGCTAATGATCCACGTGTTCAGAGAAAACGAAGAGCAGCTGTTCAAAGTAAGTCCTAGGAACTCAGGAGCGAGCAAGAGACCACAAAGGCGAGGCGGGATGGGCCACCGCCCCCGCTGGAGCGGCAGGAGCCGCCTGCCTGACCCCTGTCTGCTTCGGCCCCCAGATGATCCGGATGAGCACCGGGCACATGGAGGGCAACCTGCAGCTGCTGTACGTGCTGCTCACAGACTGCTATGTCTACCTGCTCCGGAAAGGTGCCCGCCGCCCCCGGGCAGACAGTGGGTTGTGGATGAGGCTGACTCTCAGCCCATTTTCCCCAGTCCCCTTGCCCTCTGACTGCCTTCCGGCTGCCTGGCATGCAGTGATGGAAAGGCACCCCAAGGAAGGTGTTGCCAGCAGCCCTGAGACGTGAGCCTGGGGCTCCCTGTGTGAGCACTCCACAGCATCCTCCTATTGCAGGGCAAGGAGAGGCCCCTAAGAGCGGGGGTTTTGTCTAAGAAAATGGGGTAGGGGGAGGGAAAAGAGGCCTGTGGGGATAATAGGCCTTGGGGTCTCCTCTCTCAGGGGCCACAGAGAAGCCATACCTGGTGGAAGAGGCCGTTTCTTACAATGAACTTGACTACGTGTCGGTGAGTCCAGGCTCCGCAGTTGCGCGCCTGCTGTAGGTACAGGGCTTCTCAGGCCATTTACCCATAGAGCTGCAGGGTGAGGCACAGCCCCTTACTCATATCCCGGGGTTGGATACCAACTTAACTCTCAGAAACGCTTCTGTACTCGATGCTGGGGGTAAGAACCAAGCTTGAGGTCGCCTCTTCCCGTGCTAGATTTCTGACCGCCCCTCCCTCACTCATGCCAGCCCCTGGCCTCTGGGGCTCTACTTGGTGGCGGCCCGGGGTGTGCTTCTTCCTTCCCAGCAAGCGCTCAGCCTGGTCACACTGCCTCCTCCACCAGGCAGCAGCCAAGCCCCAAGTGCATGTCAGGGTGTGGTTTCTGGCAGGTTGGCCTTGACCAGCAGACGGTGAAGCTGGTGTGCACCAACCGCAGGAAGCAGTTTCTGCTGGACACGGCTGATGTGGCGCTGGCTGAGTGAGTGGCAACCCCGCCCCTCTGAAGTACTGGAGAGTCCAAAGCTGCCCATACATAGGTGTGGGTGTCCTGGGGGTGGGGGTAGGGAGTGGGGGATGGGAAGTGGGAGATCCAGGAGGGGAAACCAGATGCATTCCCTCTGGAACCTGTATCTGCTCAGAGAGGCAGGCAAGTAGACGAAAATCACGGGACTCGTGTGGTCAGCCCAGGTGACCTCAGCCCCTGGCGACTCTTGGGGGTGCTGGCATGAGCTGTCCGACAGGAAGGAAGGCAGAGAGCCATGCTGCTGGGCCAGGTGTGCCCTTGAACGCTTGCATCCTTGTCCTGGCTCAAGGTCCCACCCGTTCAAGTCCTGCCAACCCTCCTTGTCAGTCTTCCCTCACTGTCAAAATCCAAGGCCCCTTGGCCACTGAGAACGATCAGGCCTGTTCCAGTTGTCATTTGATGACCTTGGACCTCGTCATTGCCGCACCTGCCACCCTGGTTGCTGGTTCTAACCAGGCCCCTCCCCCAAGTTTCTGTGACCCCCTCCAGGCCAGGAAGGCTCAAGACTCAGCCCTGTGCAGCTGTGGCCCTGTTCTCAGGCCTCTAACCACACACCCCACTCCCTGTGTAGGTTCTTTTTGGCTTCTTTGAAGTCAGCCATGATCAAAGGCTGTCGAGAACCACCCTACCCCAGCATCCTGACGGATGCCACCATGGAGAAGCTGGCACTGGCCAAATTTGTGGCCCAAGAATCGAAGTGTGAGGTAAGAACCTGGGGAGGAAGCTGGATGCAGCCCCTGAGATGGCAGAGCAGCAGCCATGAAGGTTAAGGGATGCACATAGACGTCTTTGCCATTTCACAATCGCCTACCTGGGTGGGACGGGACGGGGCTTTCCCATCCTGGACGGGAGGAAGGTCACGTCCACCTTCCTACTTGGGTTGTGTCCTAAGGTTAAAACACCCTTGCTCGGCAGGGCGTGATGGCTCACGCCTGTAATCCCAGCACTTTGGGAGGCCGAGGCAGGCAGATCACCTGAGGTCAGGAGTTCGAGACCAGCCTGGCCAAAATGGTGAAACCCCGTCTCTACTAAAACTACAAAAATTAGCCAGACGTGGTGGCGGGCGCCTGTAATCCCAGCTACTCGGGAGGCTGAGGCAGGAGAATCGCTTGAACCTGGGAGGTGGAGGTTGCGGTGAGTAGAGATTGTACCACTGCACTCCAGCCTGGGTGACGGAGCGAGACTCAGTCCCCCCCAAAAAAAACAAAACCCTTGCTCTTGGCTACCCCAGGTGCCATCAGTGAGCCCAGTCCGGGCTCAGCCACCTGCCTGGCCCCGGCCTTACTTGCTTTGTTCCCTGTCTCCCCATCCCAGGCATCTGCTGTCACCGTGCGCTTCTACGGCCTTGTGCACTGGGAGGACCCCACAGATGAGTCTCTGGGCCCTGCCCCCTGCCACTGCTCACCCCCCGAGGGCACCATCACCAAAGAAGGCATGCTGCACTACAAGGCGGGCACCTCCTACCTGGGCAAGGAACACTGGAAGACGTGCTTTGTGGTTCTCAGGTGGGAGCCCTGGCAGCTCCAGGCCTGGGGCTTGGGCCCCGGGGTGGCTGGGCGGTCAGGTCCCCAGCAGGGATCTCTCCGCAGCAGGTCACTTAGGGAGCAGCCTGAGAAGAGGACGCTTCTCTTCCCTATAAGAGCTTGGAGTCGACCTAGCTCAGGCTGTTAGAGCTTCTCTGTACAGCCAGTCATCTTCCGGGCCCAGGAATCCCTGAGTGCCTCAGGGGAGGACGCAGGCTTGGTCCCTCTGATGAACCTTGAGCTGTGTCCCAGGTCTGCTGAGGTGGCCACGTTCCCTGCTGGGCCCCCAGGGCTTTCTTTACCCTCCCTTCTGTAGATGACAGCTCCTGGCCTCCTTTGCCTCAGGTTCATGGCCACAGCATGTGTGTGGGAGGGGAACCCTGGGACTTGGGCTCTGCCTGGCCCCAGTTCCTGGGACAGGGCTCACTCGCCCTGTTTTGTGTCCCTGCAGCAACGGGATCCTCTACCAGTACCCGGACCGCACCGATGTCATCCCTCTGCTCTCAGTGAACATGGGGTGAGTGTCCCGGGAGAAGGGGGTGTGTCCTGGGGCCCAGAGCTGCCGTCTCCCTCGTTCGAGATGTCCTCCCCGCTTGGCAGTTCAGCCTTGCCCTCAGCCCTACCCGATCCAGCGGCCCTGACAGGTGGCCTGGGGCTTCCACGATCTGAATGCTGCAAGGAGCCCACAGGAGGGGATGAGGGAGGCAGCAAGGAGCTCCTGGCTTAGAACAGGTCCAGTCTGATGGGGGAGGCAGGCCCTTCCCCAGAAGCTCCCGGCCTGATGGGAGATGGACATTCGGGTAATCAGAAGGAACAGCGGGCCCTCAAGAGGAAGCACGCATGAATGAATGAGGCCGATTCTCAGAGGGCCAGAGGGACAGCTGATTCCCAGCCCCACCTGGCCATGCTTGGGGATTTAGAAGACCTTGGGCATTCTGGAGATGAAAGGTGTTACACAGAAAGGTGGTGGGTGGGGCTCCCAGACTTCTCCTGGGGGCTGGAGGGGCCTGGAGAGCCCTCTGGTATCCTCCAGCCCCCAGGACGGTGGGACAGACCCTGTGCCGCACACCTGCACCAACCCTGGGGGCTGCCCCTCGATGCTGCCCCTGCCTTCTCGCTCCCGTTTCACCCTCCTCCTCTGGCCCAGGGGGGAGCAGTGCGGTGGCTGCCGGAGAGCCAACACCACGGATCGGCCCCACGCCTTCCAGGTCATTCTCTCCGACCGGCCCTGCCTGGAGCTGAGTGCCGAGAGTGAGGCCGAGATGGCCGAGTGGATGCAGCACCTCTGCCAGGCTGTGTCCAAAGGGGTGAGCTTTGCCTGCCCCCACCGCTCACCTGGCCTGCCTGACCCACCCAGACCCCCAGGGTCCCATCTCTAAACCCAGAGTCACAGAGCAACCTGAGGGCCAAGACCTGCAGGGGGCAGCCCAGGAATGGACCCTGGAGCTCAGGGGCATCACTCCCATCCCCACCTCTACTCCTGATCCCTGGAGGGAGAGCAGAAGGGCTGGCTGGGTCCCCTGGAGTGGGGAGTTCTGGTGCAGACCAGCCCTGGAGGCCCCAGCCTGCCTCTCCCCTGCCCCGCTGCCAGGTCATCCCTCAGGGCGTAGCTCCCAGCCCCTGCATCCCCTGCTGCCTGGTCCTCACCGATGACCGCCTCTTCACGTGCCATGAGGATTGCCAGACCAGCTTCTTCCGCTCTCTGGGCACAGCCAAGCTGGGCGACATCAGCGCTGTCTCCACTGAGCCGGGCAAGGAGTACTGTGTCTTGGTGAGCTGGGGGTGGGGGCGGGGATGCAGGTCCTGCAGAAGGAAAGCTCTGACTGCTCACCGGGGGCCTGGCTCTCCCTAGGAGTTCTCCCAGGACAGCCAGCAGCTCCTTCCGCCCTGGGTCATCTACCTGAGCTGCACTTCTGAACTGGACCGATTGCTGTCTGCACTGAACTCTGGGTGGAAAACCATTTATCAGGTACCCAGCTGCCCAGGAACCCCATTAGCCAGGGACCCTGTGGAGTGGGAGCCACTCCCTGGGGAGACGAACCCTAGCTGCTCCCAGGACCTGGCCCTGCCTCTAGGGTCCTGGGCACAGCCATGTACCAGGGTACTCCTGCCTCAGACCTGGGGGGTGAGTGCCTGCTGCTCTTGAAACAAACCCAGGAGAGTCCTCGCTGTCCTTACTGCCTCTTGCTGCACCGTCCCCTCCTCGGCTGGCCAGAGGGTGACAAGCCTGCCAGGCCGGGAGCCCGAGGCCCTCAAGCCACTTAGCACTGCTGCCTCAAGGGCCTGGGAGGGAAGGGGTGGGCCCCGGGAGGTGGGTGTGGGACTCCAGCCTGGGTGGCTCTGCCTCTGGTTTGGACTGGGCCTTGGGTGATTGAGGGTGGCCTGGCAGGAGAAAGCTGTCTGGGGGCAGAGGCCAAGGTGGGCATGTTGGTGCCGGCCCCAGACTGAGCAGACACACCTGACAGGCACAAAAACTTAGAACCAAAGGGGCAAAACCCTGACTCCTAGCGAGTCTGAGGCTGAAGCTGAAAATAGAACCCAAGAAACTTAATTCCTGACCTCAGTTCTAATCAAACAGCACGAATGGTGGTGGACCTCCAGCTGTGCTCAGATGGTGGGGGCACAAAATTGGCAGTACCCTCTTCCTTACCCTCCAGGCTTAGCGCCAGTGTGGGAGGGCGCTCATGAGAGCCCTGCACAAGTGGGTTTTGAGCATGTGCTGTGCTCTAGCCCCGTGGAAGCTTGGACTACCCAAGGCAGAGAACAGCTCAGGACAGACCACCTCCCTGCAGAGCCAAAGTGAAGCGCCTGCCTCGCTGGGCCATACTGAGGGCTGGGGCCTTCCCAGGAAAGAGGGGGCTCAGCGGGTACCACTCCATCCTCAGCTCAAGCCCCTGGCAAGAGCAGGAGAAACTGGCAGCGTGGAAGCTGTTCCCAGGGAGGTATGGGAGGGCCTGACAGGTGCCGCGGCCAAGGCATAGCCAGGCATGGTGCCCACAAGCCCTGAAGACTGCTGCAGCCCTCATCTGTTATCTGCACGCCCTCGACACAGGTGGACCTCCCCCACACGGCGATCCAGGAAGCCTCCAACAAGAAGAAATTCGAGGATGCCTTGAGCCTCATCCACAGCGCCTGGCAGCGGAGCGACAGTCTCTGCCGCGGCCGAGCCTCCCGAGACCCCTGGTGCTGAGGCAGAGCTGGTTGGCGTCCCTGGTGGGCAGGAAAGGAAGGCACGCCAACCGACAGGCACACTGTCACGGCTGTCGTCATACTGTCGGGAGCCTAGAGCCCACCCCTGCCCCGGGCGGCAGAAAAAACCGAGTGTGGCTTAAGACAGGGTCCCTCCACTCCAGGGATCCAGCTCAGGTGCCCGGCACCCCTGGGCATCCTGCCTGACAGGTAGCGAACGGAGGTCGCCGGGGGCAGAGGGTCTGAGCCCTGTGGGCTCTGCGGATGCACGCCCTCCTCCCGGGCCTCTGCCTCAGTCTGCAGAATCTCTGCCGAGTGGCCCTGAGAACAGCATCGATCTAAGGAAGAACAAAAGAACCAGGAGGGCGGGAGCCCCCTCTTCCTCTCCTGGGTTGGGGGCTGGGGCCCTGAGTGCCCAGCCATCCTTGTTCGTGTTTGAACACTCTCCTGGCCGCGTGGGGAAGCAGGAACATGGGGTGTCTGCGCATGCTTCCTCCCAGCTCCATCGCCACACACACAGCTGCCTGCCTCGCCAGATGCAGGGGGCGGGCAGCCCTCCCTGGCTGCCAGGAGGCTCTGCATGCCCACGGTCCTGCCCTGCCTCTCCCTTCAACCTGGCAGTGCCTGTAGCACCAAGGAGCAAAAGGGGTGGATGGGGTGCTTGGAGAAGGGCAGAGCCCACCAGCCTGGCATCCATGTTGACATCTTCTGACTGTCCCCTGCTTGGCTGGAGCCAGGCCCTTCCCTAGAGTTTCGTCCAGAGCCTCCTGGGGAAGGGCTCAGGTGGTTTGGGTTGTGTTTTTTAAAATAAAATAGACATGTTATATTGCCGAGGCTTGTCACTGGCCCTTTGTGAGCAGGGTAGGGGAAGGGAGGTCTCCAAATCCCTTGGGCCCTTTTCCGAAAACCTTCCTCCATCCTGCCCTGTGCCTGACACGAGGGACACACAGGATATGCAGAACCAGATCAGCCACAGTTGCCGGGTGGACTCACTGCAGGCCCTCAGGCCCTGGGAGTTTCTCGGCCTGACCTTTGCCCTCCCTCCTGTTCCCGTTTGCTACAGCGGCCAGGGGAGGAGCAGCCACCAGCTCAAGCCCCAGGGCACATCTGCACTACTGCCCACCATCTGCAGCCCATCCCGGGGCGGGACACTCCTGCCTCCAAAGCCCTGGGAGTGAGTGCCCAAAGCCAGCAGAATCCAAGCTTTCCTGCTGCCTCTTGCTGCACCGTCCTCTCCGGGGCTGGCCAGAGGGTGACAAGCCCGCCAGGCCGGGAGCTCGAGGCCTTCAAGCCACTCAGCACTGCTGCCTCAAGGGCCTGGGAGGGAAGGGGTGGTCCCGGGAGGTGGGTATGGGACGCCAGCCTTGGTGGCTCTGCCTCTGGTTTGGACTGGGCCTTGGGTGATTGAGGGTGGCCTGGCAGGAGAGAGCTGTCTGGGGGCAGAGGCCAAAGTGGGCATGTTGGTGCCGGCCCCAGCCTGAGCAGACACACCTGACCGCTGGCCCAGGTGGCGCTCTCTTCTCAGCAGGCACAAAGGGCATCCAAGGGCCGCCTCCTGCCCCACTGGCTGCCTGGCCATTCCTTCAGGGAGCAGCAGAGCCTCCTGCCCAGCCCAGGAGGGGCTCCCCCAGCAGGAGGGCAGGACTGGCTGCAAGTCCTTACCAGCTGAGGTCACTCCTCAACTCCTACTCACCCAGGCGCCCTGAAGTCCTGGGAGCGGTGAGGGGGGGCATAGGAGCTGGAGGCAGTGGGGGTGGGGGCCAGCAGGCAATGCGGGTGCCTTTTATTCGGCGTGGCACTGACCTAGGCCCACTGTTCTCATCGCCACTCCTCCACAGAACCTTCTGGAGTGGATGTCAGTGTCTTCATTTTACAAAGGAGAGAAAGTGAAGCTCTGAGAGGAAGTGACTTGCCCAGGGTCGCACATGAGAGTCGCACCTGGGATTCCAGTCCTCCCCCCAGGGCTCCAGAGCCCTTCTCTACTTCTGACCCTGCTGAGCATGGGCCTATAGACGGTGGGAGCCAGACTGGAAGACTGAGTCCTGGAAAGGGGAAGTCAGTCATCAGGGGCACATCAGGGGCAGAGTGGGACAGGGGCAGAGTTGGCCATGTACCCCAGGGACCTCCCAGTCACTTGCCCCCTGCCCAGGGCTCTGCCAAAGCTGGACAGGCTAAGCCAGAGGCAAGGCAGGGGTGCCAGCCCTTTACCCAGGACCAGAGGGAGACCAGGAGGAGGAGCCTGAGCTGATTGGCACCTTCTCCCTATCCAAGCTCTCCGTCCAGTCCCAAGTGACCTTTCCCCCAGATCCCAGGGTCCAGGCCCGCCCTCGGCTGGCAGGTGTGAGCACAGAAGCAGCTGGGATTGGTCACAGCCGGTGGAGGCGTGTCTCAGGCTCCAGCAGACCACTGGAACAGCTGAGCAGAGCAGGTGGACTGCTGAGATAGACCAGGGACTCCAGGCAGCCACAGGCCTGTCAGACCAGGACTCTTACCCTCTAGACATGGCCTCAGGTCCCTGCAAACCCCAGCCCCGTGGCCCTGCGAGGTTACAGACAGCCTAAACGCCACCACCACAGGGCCTGTGCCATGCACCTGGCCCAGGCACAGAAGGCCACTGGCGCGGAGGCTATGGAGACAGTTCCCCCAGCAGTGGACCTGGTGCTGGGTGCCTCGGCCTGCTGCCTGGCCTGTGTCTTCACCAACCCCCTGGAGGTGGTGAAGACGCGGCTGCAGCTGCAGGGGGAGCTGCAGGCCCGGGGCACCTACCCACAGCCCTACCGGGGCTTCATGGCCTCTGTCGCTGCTGTGGCCCGAGCAGACGGGCTGTGGGGCCTGCAGAAGGGGCTGGCTGCTGGCCTTCTGTACCAAGGCCTCATGAACGGCGTTCGTTTCTACTGCTACAGCCTGGCATGCCAGGCTGGCCTCACACAGCAACCAGGTGGCACCGTGGTTGCAGGAGCCGTGGCAGGAGCACTGGGAGCCTTCGTGGGGAGCCCTGCTTACCTGGTGAGTGGCTTGTTTCCATCCTCCACCATCCCATGACCCAGCTCCTGCAGGGACCCTGCAGCCTCCAAAGGCTGGGCTCAGTGGACCTGGGTGGCGCGGGGCAGCCTGGGTGGGGTGGGGCAGCCTGGGTGGGGCTGCCCCCTGGAACATCTTAGCCCAGGCCTGGAATCTGCCTCTTGGCCCAGGGCACCAGGGCCTTGCTCTGATCCATGCTCTCCTGGGGACCCTGCCCCACTGGTCCTGAGCCAGGCGAGGGGGCAGAGCGTGGCAGATATGCTGGCTCAAATCCTGGCTTGGTTACTTCTCTTCCTGTGCGGCCTCGTGTACGATAAGAATAAAAGCTACCCTTGAGGGCCGCCTCCTCACGTGCACTCTGCAGGGACGCTTCAGGGCCGCCAAAAACAAATAAAAAATTTTTAAAAAACGTTTTGATAAAAGCTACCCTTGGCTGGGCGCGGTGGCTCACGCCTGTAATCCCAGCACTTCGGGAGGCTGAGGTGGGCAGATCACCTGAGGTCAGGAGTTTGAGACCAGCCTGGTCAACATGGTGAAACC